AATACAACTTCTTTAAAATAGGGTGTTCTCGAGCACCCCGGTTGTAGCCCAACCGATTTCTGTGTTCTATTTTCTTCAACTTTTATAACTATATTCTCCTGCAACAAACCTTCGTGACAACTGGGGCAAAATTTTGGAACACTGGCTCCAATACACATGCAAATTTAAATTTCCATGCTTTTCAAAAAGGATTTTTGGCAATTACCTGCTGGCAGAGTTAATGAAAATGATGAAATCTTTCTGATAAACTGTATACTTTCTGACTTGAAAACCCTCACTGTCAAATATTTTTGTTAAAATTTGATTCTATTCCCAAAAGATATTTTTGAGTGGAATATTCAAGTGGTAAATTTTTGAAGAAAAAAAAGACTGACATGTTTTTGGCAGAACTTGTAACTGCTGCACAGGTTTTTTCACTGTTTGGTGCTGAAGAATGGCATGACCATTAACCCTGGCATTCATGGTACCATTGCTGGTAGGGGTGGACATTTTGAATCCATGTCTAGGACTGCATGCACCATTTGCATTCACTCTCCACTTCCTTGTCTTTGTTTCTGAGGGGCAGTCCTTGAGTTCTTGCTTAAATTTAGTTGTTTTCCCATTCACTGATGCACTTGAGTCCCCTGTTGGCTGTAACCAGAGATCTGGAGTGATTTTGCTGGTTTCAGAATTTCCTGAAGATGTATTGTTGTTGTGGTTGATGATGGAGCTGCAATGCTTCATCAGCTCAGGGAAGTTTGGCAGCAGTTCCAAATGGGCTTGAGTTTCTTTGCAGAAGATGTTCATCTTGTATTTGTTCAGGCAGGTCTCACTGAAAGATGAGAGTATATTTAAATGCATAAATTAATTCTCAAAAGTTTTCTGTACCTAAATAATGCCAGGGTCACTCAAATTCCTACATTTTTCTGGAATTTCCTATACATAGAAATGATTGCTCATGAGAGTCATTTTTTTTCAATGGAAAATTTTGTCATACGAGCCATTTAAACATTTCTAATCACAAATGGGAGCCACTCCCCATGATGAGCTGTCCATCATCTAGATTCAGAACAAACGTCTGAGTCAAGAGCGACATCTACTTCACCCGCCGTAGTTTTTAGGAAATTGTCGCGAGTACTCATAATAGATGACGCTACCTGCAAAATAGCAGCTTCGATTCTCCATCTCGGTAGTCGACGTAATCCGCGGAATTGCGGAAACCTTTGCACCAGTCGCAGAGTTTGCTTTTCTTGAAACTGGCTCTCCTGTATTTGTTGAAGCAGAGTTCTGAACAAAAGCTTCTTTCCCCATTGTTCGTTTGCAACGAGAACTGGTTTGAGCCCACGTTTTGGCACCAGGAACAAATGATCATTTCCGGCGGCACAATTCCTCTCAATGGGTCTGAAACACAATTTTTTTTTCGACAGAAAAAGAACAGAAAAATCCGATCAAAAATTCGTCAGTGTTTTATTCAAGGCAAATGGCACGTTTCAAGACTAATTTAAACCGTTGAAAAGCACCATAGCGTGATTTTAACGCAAATTGGACTTTGCACTGAAATTAAATTCTTGTCCAAACAGCAAATTGCCGAAACCGAAATAATAATTTTAATTAAAATTTAATCTCTAAATTTATGCTGTCCCAATATGTCCAGGCAATTGAAAGATTTCCTAAATGAGCATTTTAAATTCGTAATGTGCTTTATTGGCAACCGCGTGAACATTTCTTTGGAAATCCGAAGTAAACTTTTTCCAAATAAGAGGTTAATTTAACAAATTTTGAATGATTGGAAAAATGCAGAATAAAATATACTACACCGCTGAAAAGTAGGATTGAGGCTAAACCTCTGAATGATCCATGATATTTTATATCCAGCATTCAAACATATATAATATTCAAAATAAAATGCATTATTAAAAAAATCCAGGATTTACCTTTACTTTTCTGATGCTGGATTCATTGATGAATGCTGCAAAAGCTTATTGTAAATTGTACCAAGAATGATTTAAAACCCAGGAAATCTTTTTGAAAACTGGTTATTTTTAGGATTTCGGACCAATAAGTTCAGTGATTTATCAGGCAAAAAAATCCCCTCAAAAGAAACGGTTCGAACTGCAGGAATTTGGCTCCTATTTTTATGCCGGAAATATATTGTGCAGTACTCCAACAGTGAAGACTTGCAGAAAATTAGCGGGCTATTTCTGGGAAGTAAACAAGTGGCAGAGAGGAACAAGCAGGGAACGACGAACGCATGACTAATGAGGAACATATTTGCGCAAATTTTTGCAGAGACGCTTTTTCAGGAGACTCAACTTTTGTATATTCGCATGCAGTAGAAACGATCAAAACGATGTGTTTTCCATCCCAGAATAATTTTGCAGTACCCCGAAATAAGGACAAGCAAAAATGTGGATAATTTTGGGGCAAGAATTATCCACGAAGAAATTGACACGATTCTAAATTGATTTTTAGAATATTTGATAATTAATTTCACCTCTCTCTTCAAGTAAAGCATTGTTCTATTTCTTAAAAGTTGTTCAAGTTGTCTTTCAGAATTTTTCAAGGATTATTTTCACCTTCGGCAACGTATCGCAAAAATTTGCTCAGGATTTCCAAAACTAAAATAGCCGAATTTACGCTCAAACGAAGGCTCAACGTGATTTCGGTTGTCCCAAAAATTAAATCTTTACATTTTTTCGACGAAAAATTCCTGATTGCGATGACTTTTTAAAACTGTTTCTCGAATGCGTTGCAAAAAATTCAACATATGAAATCGCGGAGTTGCTTCAACGGCTAGAATTTGCGAGATTCCGGTGATGAATTTGCAGAGAATTTTCAAGCATTTTTCAAAACTCAAAGAATCTAAAAATTTGTATCGGAATCTGGATTCATTCCCTTTCCCAGAGTTTCGCTTCATATTTTCCGTCAAATCACGATTAAATCAGCTAAATGCAGCAAATTTTATTTGCCTGCAAATAAGCTGAAACGAAATCGCATTGTCGATTTATCCCAGTTTTCCTGAAATTTTTTGTCAGCTGACACAAAATGAAACCCGAGAAACGACTCAAAATTCCGAAGTTTACCTGCTTCTCAAATTTTTGCGTATCTTCAGCGGCAAAAAACAAAAAGTTTGTTCAAATACCTAAGAGTCTGTGCTAAATTTAGCCACATATGTGCAGGCATTTTTCGCGTAACCGTTTCTGGTAAAAGCGTGTCACGGAAATTACCAACCGACGCGTGCTGGCACGCGACACGACGCGACACGCAACCATGAAACAACGTCACTCTTCCGAAAACGACACCTGGTCGACAGGGGTAGCGACAGAAGTTTGCCAGTGTCACTCACGACTTTCCGGTTGCTTGAAAAAAAATGAGCTTATTCGAAAACATATGTTCAACTTTCTCAATTCCATGGAAATATAACAGCCCAAGGAAAGCTTTGAAAAAATAAAATAAAACCAGGAAATATCCCAAGAAACCTCGAATTTTCCGAAAATAAGAAATCCAAACAAGGAACCGTAATTTATTTACAGTGAGACCCCAAGATGCACATGTAATTGGTGCATCAAGAGTGTCCCTAAGTTGAGTCTCATTTTCCCTTAGACTTACATTATATAATCTTTAACTGGTGTTTATGTACAAAATACTCACCATTTGTTCAGTCAATTTTTGAAATTGAAAATTCGCAAACCTTTTGAAAGATATAAACAAATCACGCACAAAATTCTGGTAAAAAAACACAAAATATTCACAACCGAATAATCCCAGAAAAAACCTGCAAGCGAAACTTCCAAATAAATCTGCAGAGAAAAGTTTAAATTATTTAAACCTGAAAAATCCCCCCAACAAAAATCTCAGAATCACCCAAACTGGAGAAAACTTCCTCCTGCTTTTTGAGAAAGAAAAAAGAGGCAACCAAAGTGGCAGCCCACCAACGAATACATGTGCCTGTTGCGCACGCGACCAACACCAGCAACGGTTTCATTTATTTCTGTTCTATTTTTTTTTTTCATTCCTGCCACGTCTCTCCACTTCCTTCCTCATCATCAGGCCTCCCTCTTCACCCAGAACTGAATGTATATACTGTATACACAGGACAAAAAGCAAGCGGAAGTGGACTCCAAATGCTGAAGGAACAGCTGACAAAACCCTGCTTCAAAGGACTTGGGGATGAAATGGTTTCCTTCTCTGCATTTCAGCAGGCAGATGCTCATGGATGTGTTTACAAAGTGCAACCCACCTTTTTTTTTTTGTGGACACCTTTGAACCCTGATAACTCAAACCTCCCCAAGTCCAATGTCTAAGGCAAATTTTTTTTGCAAGTCCTTGCAAACAATGCAATAACAATATTCTTAACTCAAGGGCTTTTCCTCTCAAACTTCAGTATTTGAAATTTTTTGGGGCCTTTTGGCTACTGTATACAGGAAGGAGAAAAAAAATGTAAGGATGTGTGTTGAAATTTGGCAATTTTCGGTATAATTTGGCAATTACACCATATTGCATACAAGTTCAGCATTTTGTTTCAACTTATTCAAGAAGGAATTTAAGACTTTGAATATAGTGTACTGTATCATCAAGTAAAATTTCCCGTTATTTTTCTCTCTTCCCCCAACAACAATGTTTGTTTCTGTAACTATTTCTCTAACTCAATTCTTTTGCTATTCCTTCAAAATTCGACTTGAAGAGGTTCGAATAAAAAATATGGCATATTCCCTCTTTCTCCCAAAGGTAATTAAGGTATATAAAAATTAATATTCCTGATTTCAAAGCCCCAGAAAAATAATTTATCGATGAATAAGGTGCTGCATTGTAAAAAAAATTGAAAATGTACTTTCTAGGTGCAAAAGCTTCATAAAAAAATAGCGCAAATCATTTTAACAAATATATCCCTGAGATGCCATTGAGAACTTTGATGAAACCCCTTTTTACGGATATCAATCACACGTGTCCAGATTTACGGGAACCGCAAAAAGATGCGGTTTTGTATAGTTTAAATCTTTAAAATATTGTATAAAAGAAAAATTCGCACATAAGAGAAATCCGAAACCACAGCTCAAACGAAATGGCGCAGAAAAGAATTGAAACCGCGTTCTGGTCCTTTTATCATTAATACCGTATTTTGTTACACAGGATGAAAAGAAACAGGGTAAAATATCATGGAAGATTTCAATCTCGACACCTTGGGTCTAAAATCCCCTTTTTTTCTTTTTTTCCTATTCTTCAGACACTTTGTTTGAGCGCAATCTGCTGAAATTCTCGCTTTCGTTGGGTTTCGGTGGAAAACAATGAAAATTCTGAGAGTGTGAAAGGACACGACTGGGATCGGGTTTCAAATCTCAGTTTTTCGCCGCTATTTAAAAGAAATAAAAGGTGCATTTTATGTTATATGAAAGAGGTAGAATATAACATTACAAACAAACAAAAATCTCAGTTTTTTGAAATACGATCTGGCAAAAAAGTTAAGCTGGAAACTCCGCAAAAAAAAAAAAAAACGCAAGCTGGCGAAATTTCAGCGCAACATTTTTGAAGGAGCCACTTGGAACTGGTTTTAGTGCCGACGAAAAACAAAAAAAATTGTTTCATGGAAATTGGCACAGTTTCTATAGTATACTCAGTCAGAAACTTGTACCCATTAGCTGCTTTATTGCATGTTTCAAATTCCAAGAAGACCATAAATTCCAAGTCGGTAACACAAACAGCTTCAGTGTTACCACAGCAGATGAAAACTTGATTTGATGCAAGCAAAAGTTTTCAATGCTGTTCTTTCAATACAATTTTAAACCTAAGTAGGGCAGCGAAAAAATTTTGCAATACTTATAGTGATTAGCCCCTCGTACAGAGAAAAATGTCTGAAATACTGTACAAGTGCATGACTTAAGGAGGTTTCAAAAAATAAATTGAAACCTCATTGAATCAAACTTTTTCTTAGCCCCTTCTTAAGTTTGACTTGAGGAGGTTTGACCATAGTTAACCCTTGGGTGGCGCTTCTGGACTTTATTTGCACAATTTTGTGTAACTAGTGAAAGACAAAAAAGGAAATACTTAGAATGATCTGAAGAGCTGGGATTATGGTGGAATAAAGTCCTGATCCTAATAACAAATTATTATTGTTGAGCCTCTCCTGGAACCAACTTGAAAAAAATATTCTGGCTCTTAATTCACAACTGCACCAACTTCATACAGCCAAAAATCCCTGAAGTCCATTCATCTTGGGTAATATATAGAAGCAAGAATATTCCTGACAACCATATTCTGCAAGAAGTTGAATTCCTGAAAAGATTATTCCAGTCTGAAGCGATTGGGCCTGACAATTTAATTCCATAGCCACCCCAAGAACCAAAGTTTAGAAAACTCCACAATTTGTTTCTTTCCTGTAAAAAAATTTTTTTGTGAAAAAAATCATTTCCTGCACTGTGGAATTTCTTCTGCATTCCAGCCATAGTATTTGCATATGAGATTTTGAAGACAATGGTTTTTGCTCTCCAGGATTTTTCCCAACTTCAACTACTTAGCAAAAGCTG